ACTCACAACCCAGTGATCAAGTTGCATGCTAGCCAGGCTCCCCCGGGAAGTTTTTAAAGAAATTATTATCACTAATTCAGTCTCTGCTTATTATGAGGCTTTTGGATTTTTTTTTTCTTGAGCACATTTTACTTGTGTCTTTATAGAAAGTAATCCCTTTCATCTAGGTTATCTAATTTGTTGGTGTCCCTTAAAATTGTGTGTGTTTTTTTTTTTAAGATTTATTTATTTATTTGACAGAGAGAGACACAGCGAGAGAGGGAATACAAGCAGGGGGAGTGGGAGAGGGAGAAGCAGGCTCCCGGCTGAGCAGGGAGCCTGATGCGGGACTCCATTCTAGGACCCTGAATTCATGACCTGAGCCGAAGGCAGACGCTTAACGACTGAGCCACCCAGGTGCCGCACCTTAAAATTGTTTTTATTTCTGTAGGGTTGGTATTAATGACCCATCTTTCACTCCTGACTTTGATAGGTTGAGGCTTCTTTTTTTTTCTTGGCTAGTCTAATTTAAGGTGTGCCAATTCTGTTGATCTTTTCAAAGAACAAATTTTTGGCTTCATTAATTTCTTTTTGTTTTGCATTTTAAATCATCTATTTGACTTATTTCTGCTTCCTTTAGATTTAATTTGTTTTCCTCTTTATAGTTTCTTATGGTGAAAAGCTTTATTATTGAGTTGAGGTCTTTTCCTAATATAAGTGTTTACATAAATTGCCCTCTGAGCACTGTTTTGGGAGCATCTCGTAAGTTTTTGTATGTTGTGATTTTGTTTGGTTTCATCCTGAAGTATTTTCTAATTCCCCTGTGATTTCTTCTTTGATACAGTGCTTACATATCTAAGAGTTTGTTGTTTAATTTCTACGTATTTGTTAATTACTCAAGTTTCTTTCTTTGTGATTTCTAATTTTATTCGAGTGTATGGATACTATATACTTGTATGATTTCAGCCCTTTTAAGTTTATTGGGATTTGTTTTGTGTCCTAACATGCAGTCTGTCCTGGACTATGTTATAGATTCTGCTGTTGTTGAGTGGAATGTTCTATTATGTGTCTCTTAGGTGGAGAGAATTGTTCATGACTTTGATTTCCTTATTGATTTTTTGGTCTAGATGTTCTATTCATTATTGAAAATGGGGTATTGAAATATCCGGCTATTATTGTCAGACTGTCTATTTTTCACTTTTGTTTGACAGTTTTTACTTCATATATTTTGAGACTCTGGTGTGAGGTGCATATATGTTTATAATTTCCCTCTGAGTATTGCTTATTACATCCCACACATTTTGATGTGCTGCTGTTTTTGTTATTTTTAGTCCAAAATATTTTGTATTTCTATTGTGGTTTTGTTTTGTTTTGTTTTTCTTTCTTTCTTTCTTTCTTTTTGACTCATGGTTTATTTATAAATATATTTTAAAATTTTCAAATATTTGGTACTTTTTGAAAGATTTTTTTTTTATTTATAATTGTGTTCAGAGAACATACCTTGTAAGATTTTAGTCTTTATCTAGATGTTTTACATCTCTGCATATGGTCTGTCTTGGTAAGTATTCCATGAGAAATTGAAAAGTACGTGTTTTCTTCATCTCTTCTGTGAGTAGTCTGTTTTGAAAGTTCATGAGAGCTTGACTGCTCCAGCCGTTATAGACCTTTTTTTTTTAATCCATCTGCAGTTTTTTTTATTTTTGGGCATTAGGTTTGAGGGGAAACAGATTTTGGTTGAGAAATAAACTTCTTTGCTGAAATTACATCCTGAAAGTTTTAAATAAGTAGCAGAAGAAGGGGAAGATAGGTAGTTGGTAAACTGGAGCATAAAGTTGCTATCCTGTTTCTGCCACTATGACTTCCTGTGGTAAACCAAATTATAACAGGGAAGGGAACTATTCTATATTTTGCTTGTTAATGATCTAGATGAGGTGGAGGAGGAAATGCCACTACAAGTTCCCAAGAACTCGGGGCACAAATCCATTCATTCTACTGTCTTTGTCTGAGGTACAATCCCTAAGACCACTATCAAAGAGTAGAAGGTAGCTATATAGAGTTGATTTGCTCCTGGACTTTTTCCAGAGCTTTTCTGTCCTGCTGTCGCCGATGAACAAGGCAAGCAAGACCAAGGCCACACCCACGATGGCCCCTTCAGATTTCCATAGTAAGTGTTGTTCAATCAGAGCTGAGCGGCGGCTTTTGAATTCATTCCCCTTAGATGAGCTGCGTGTGATTTTCTCCACATACCCTGTGGAACCACACTTCGGTGGTTTTAGCCTGGAAATTAGAACACGGAGCACATTCTTCTGCCACCACAAACTCTTCACCAGCCAGCACGGTGCTCACTGACAGCTTCTCTGCCCGCACAAGGGCCTCTGCTTGGCAGAGCTTTAAGGTGAGAGCGCAGAGCAACCAGCAGAAGTGGCTGCCCTGGGAGGCTGCACCCGTAGGCATGGAGTGCTCAGTGTCACACCTCTCCAGACTGAGGGACCTGCTTGACTGGCCTCGTACCTCTGTAGCCCTCTGGGAGGTTCCAGCTCAGGGCTGTGAAATGTTGAATTGCCTATCAGGGCAAAGGCTTTACTGGCACATCCCCATGGCCGTGGCGAGAAAAGCCAACACACATTTGTTGGATTGAACTATGAGCTCACTTGTTCGCACTCTCGTGGCCCTCAGTAAAGGCATACACTCTGGTACTGCATCACCTCTGGGGCTGTCCCTGTGGTGGCATTTTGCCTCCTGGAGCCCTTTTAGACCTATCAAGTACACCTTTTACAATTCACTGTTGGAATGGAGAAAAACCTACTTTTCAGCTCCTTCTTTGAATGCTCTTGTCTTTCTTTCCAATAAATGCCCACTGATTGTTTTTGAGTTTAAAGGACCTTTCTCCTAAGCTTTCCCAGAACGGTTTTCACTCTTTTCATGAGGAGTGATCTAGCATTTTATATATACACTATGATATGTATACTTATCTGCCAGACTTTTTGATTCTCATGGGCAGAGGTTATAGTTTTCATCCTTAACATTCTAGTAGCAGGTGACCATAAGTATTTAAATTTTAATCAACCAAACTTCGTAAGACTGGACTTAACCTATGTGCCTTTAGTCTTTTAAGACCTACTTTACATCAGTGTATTATTTCTTAAGGTTTTATAATTTCCATTTAATGATTCTGGGCTTAAGATAGATTAATTCTTGGGTATTTTTCATAAAACTTAAAAAAATTACTGAAATTGATTAAAAATAGTTTTGAGAAATTCCCCCTTGCATTTTCTATATGGGAATTTTCCTTTTCTAAGGCGTGCTGTGCTCAATAAGGAATTAAGACAACATTTATGCACTCTAAATAGGGTTTTAAAGTAAATAATACATGCCTTGAATGATAAATCACTTTTGAAGTTACATGGACTCTTTAGGAGAAAAGGCAGTATTTTTTATTTTGGTATGGCAGCATAACCTGAGCACCATTTGCTGCTAGGAAAAAAATAGTTGTTTGTAAAGATATTTAGGGACTCCTCTAGTGAATGATTTGAGTTTGGGGGTTTTTGTTAGAGTAGATTTTATTTATTTATTTATATATATATATATGTAACTTTCTAAAAGTTTCTAACTTTTTTTCTGTGACTGTTAACTTTGAATTAGTAAAGACACAATGTCTTAAGCTTCTTAATTGGTCGGTGAAGACCCTACCTTTTGCCAGGAATTTCTGCATCTTTAGGAGTTTAGAATGCTTAAATGGAGTTAGACTTTTCTGTGAATGCATTCACTGTTGTGAGTAGCGCTGTTGTTCTCTGCACTTTTTATAGCCTTTTCTAATTCCTTTTTCATTTTGAGACTCAGGATGGTAAGATGAATGTATTCTTTATACAGGTGAAAAAAACAAGTGACTATAGTTTAGCTATGATTCACATTTCTTAATTCTTAGTTTGGTAATTTTTATATTCTACTTCAGATTCTAATTTAGGGTATTTAACCACTTCTGTGTCTTGGTACAGTTTTGCCAGCCATCAATTTTCTCATCCATAAAGTGAGAGAGTTCCAAGTAGATTGCCTCATATTTTCTAATGGGAATTCAACTTTTAAAGTATCATTATGTGTAGTAGGATTGAATTATCTTATAAATTGAATGATCCAGCTGCTCTTCGTACACTTGTATGATTGTTGATCATTAGAATCATGCTCATGTAATTAATTCGTTCATTGAGGGTTTTTCCACTACATTGTGGAAAAAACCTTCCATATGTTGTTTACTATTTACTAGGTGCTCAACCTAGCCCAGTGCCTTGAATGTGGTTAAGTGCTCAATAAATACTTGTTGAATGAATGATTAAATGAATGATAATGGTCAGCATGGGTGGAGGCAGCATAGTGCTATGAAAAGAGTGTGCACATTCTTTTTGGTGTACTCTTTTTTTTGGAGAGGGAGAAAGAGAGTCTTTTTTTTTTTTAAGATTTTATTTATTTATTTGACACACAGAGAGAGATAGCGAGAGAGAGAGGGATCTCCCCACAAGCAGGGGGAGCGGCAGGCAGAGGGAGAAGCAGCCTTCCTGCATGAGCAGGGAGTCCGATGTGGGGCTTGATCCCAGGACCCTGGGATCATGACCTGAGCTGAAGGCAGCGGTTTAACCAACTGAGCCACCCAGGCGCCCCGAGAAAGAGAATCTTAAGCAGGCTCCATACCCAGCACTGGAGCCTGACACGGGGCTTGATCTCACAACCCTGAGATCATGACCTGCGCCAAAATCAAGAGTTGGACGCTCACCTTTTAAGACTGAGTCACCCAGGCACCCTGGTGTTACTCATATTTTTATTAGATCATAGGGTGTAATATTTTAGAAGTTGGTAGGAAGGTTACTTGGGATAATGTGTAAAAGTTCAAAGCAACCTTTTGCTTAAAATGTTGGTTTCTTATTGTAATCCCTTAGAGACTTGGACCAAGAGATTTTTCTTATATAAGCTGGGCACATTTTGGTATGCTAGGTTTAATTGTAATAACCCTTGTTATTTTTCTCTTATAGTTTTATATGTGGCACTCATAAAAGATGAGGCTGAGAACACGGAAAGCTTCTCAGCAATCAAATCAAATCCAAACACAACGTACTGCTAGAGCAAAGAGGAAATATTCAGAGGTTGATGATAGCCTGCCTTCAGGGGGAGAAAAAACACCGAAAAATGAAACCGGCTTGTTGTCTTCAATTAAAAAATTCATTAAAGGAAGCACACCCAAGGTAATGGTTTTACCTTGTACTTACATTATTAAAATTAAAGTTTAGGTTGTTTTCTTTAAGCATGCAAAGATGAGAAATCTAATATTGCTAGTAGATTAAGGGAATGTTTACATTTTAGTGTTATTTTAAGAGTTAATAACATGAAAAATATTTAATGGCCATTCAAGAAAATTTATTCTACTTAACTGATCCATTTAGCCTCCTTTTTTTTTCAGCATAGTATTATGAAAAGTAAAAGAAAATTTTCCTTATTTTATGTGAGTTGTTTCTCTCACTTCCATTTTTTTTCATTTCAGAGAAAAGTTAAATTTTCTTGTTAATATTAATATAGTGTCTGATTAGGGAGATGATTTTTCTGTCTGAATTCTAACACTTTATAATGAATGTATTACTTTATTAAAGAGAAAAAAAGTTATTAAAGCAAAAATGGACACTGACTAGGAGTTACATGCTCCATATTTGTACTTTGGATCAACTTGATCTGAGGAAACTCATTTACCCCTCTGAACCTCAAGAAGACAGTAAAATGGGACTAATTCTAACTGCTTTATCTGTCTCAGAGTTGTTTTTACATTAGATGGCAAATAGAAAAAGCAGTTTGAGAAATTTTAACGTACTCTATAAATAGTGTTATTGTCATTCATTGTATGTATTTAATGTAGACATTAAGGAAAAATACAAGATTTTGGTTTAAAAAAGGAAATTTGGTAGGTTTTTCCTGTGTCTTCTGACTTCTGTTCATATTCTTTTGATCTGGGCATTCTTCTGTTAATGTGGCACCATTGCATAACATATGATGATTTTTTCTCCTTTAGCAGTAAGATCTATCTTTGTTGGTTAGCAGATTTTTGCCCATGTCAACTACACATGCAGGGTTTTCCTATGGAAATTTCTGTCAAGTTTCTTTCTATTTTATTTTAAACCAAAATCTTGCACTTTTCATTAATGTCTGCTTAAAGATGTTAAATAAGATAGGGCTACTAAAAACCTGTTTGCACACTAATGTTTTATTCAGTAATTTTGGGGGGCAAGAGTTTTCCTGCAGCTTCAAATTCATTTAATTGTACTGTTAATCATCCAGATTTTTTTATTGTATTTTATAAGGTTATTATGAAAATTAGTATTGGAATGTCTTGCTAAAATCAAGGTATACTGTTCCCCCCCACCCCCAGTTTACTAACCCTATGTTAGAAGTAAATTAAATGATGAGCTTGTCATGTATTATTCCTACTGAGCTTATACTGGCTTCTAATTGTTATTTCTTATCTCATTGTCATTAAATCATCTCTTTGATAATATATCCTGAAGTTTTATTGAGAATCTATACAATGCTTGCTTATGTTCAGTATCTTAAGTACAGTGTTGTCTTTTTCAAAATGTGGGTAGGGGTTGGCAGGTAATGTTTATTGAGTATATTTATTAGGTGCTTTATACCTTGTATCTCCTTAATTCATATATCTATCTTTTGATAGTTTATAGAAGAGAAAAATTTAGGCTTAGTGAATTTCGGTAACTTGCACATGTCAATAAAAACAGTAATTGTAATTAATGTCCAGGATAAAAACGAACAATAAAGAACAAATGCAACAGTAATTACTCTCAGTTATTGAGCTATTAGTATGTGTCATACACTGTTCTCAGTGCTTTAAGTGTAATAACTTCTTTAAGCTGTACGACCATATGAAGTAGGTTCTATCATCTCTGTATTACAGATAAGGAAACTAAGGCAAGGAAGGTTAAATAACTTGTGCAGGGTTATTTAGCTTTAAGTGGCAACACTGGAATTGAAACCCAGATTCCCTGGCTTCAGAGCCTACACTTCTAACCCACTGTGCACTATTGCCTCTACAATAAAGGCGATGCTGAGATTTAAACCCAAGTTAAGTTACATTTGACTCTGATACCGGTGCTCTTTCTCCTATACCATTTTGTCTCAAAGTAGCTAGATAATATCTTAATAGCATCACCTGTCTTGTGTAAGGGTTGAAAATTCTTCTTGACGAAAGCAAATAAGAGTTGAATCTTTTATACTACCTCCCCGCTTTGTCATTTTATTTATATTCTATCATCGTTTCAAAGCTTCCTGAAGCTTATTCTTTTTATAGGAAGTTTTTCCCCCTAGTACTTTTTGCATATATCTTCATCTCCTTTAGTCTGACTAGATGATAAACTACATTTCTTATCTCTACAAGTGTCCTTTTTTAAAACCAAGTCAGTTAGATAACTTCCTGTGCTGCCTTTTTTGTTTCTTTGGTACCGTTCCTTTTTGTCTGCTTTTGGACTTTTAAAGTTATGTGGCTAGAATTGAACTTTTTAGACAAACCTTCTTGCTTTCTCTTTTGAGCTGTAATCCTTTCTAAGGTATCTGACATTGCTTTCATGCCTGTTTCAGGAGTCTGACTTTCTGAAACTTGCTCTCCTCGTATCCCCCTACTTTTTTGCTCTTCTGTTACTATTATGATTTCTAGGATCAGTGGCTGTTGGTGCTTGCCATTTTACCATTACTGACCCATTTTTATATTTTTATATTGCTAACAAGTTTTAATCTGTATTCTGGTCTTAATTTTGTATAAATTAGCCATGAGAGTAGTTAGGTAAACCAAACATAGGTTGTTAATTTATGAACATAAGCGTGTGTATTAGTTTGCTAGGACTGCCATAAGAAAGTACCAAAGACTGGGTGGCTTAAACAACAAATTTTTTTACAGTCCAGAAGCTAGAAATCCAGGATCAGGGTGACAAGCAGGTTGATTTTTTTCTGAGGCCTCTGTCCTTGACTTGGATGGCTGGCCTTCTTGCTGTGTCCTCCCATAGTTGCCCCTCAGTGCTTTGTGTTGTCTGTGTTGTAATCTCTTCTTGTAAGGACACCACTCATAACAGGATTAGGGCCTACCCTAATGACCCCATTTGAACTTAATTACTGCTTAAAAGCCATATTTCTAAATATGGTTATATTCTGCGGGTTAGGGCTTCAACAAATGACTTTGGGAATGGGGGGGCGGGCATGACACAAATTTAGCCCTTAACAGGGTGAATGAAATTTCTGATCTCTTTCAAATCCAGATATTTTTTTTTAAGATTTTATTTATTTATTTGAGAGAGCGAATGAGATAGAGAGCGAGCACGAGAAGGGGGAGGGTCAGAGGGAGAAGCACACTCCCTGCTGAGGAGGGAGCCCGATGCGGGACTCGATCCCAGGACTCCAGGATCATGATTTTATGATTCAAATGTTTACCACTTCTCTGATTTCAGAATTATGAAATTGTCAGCAAGAGCACTCAAGAATTGTTGACATGCAGTCTTTCTGCTTTTAGCATAATGAAATTTCTTTCTTTTTCTTTTTTTTTTTAAGATTTATTTATCTGAGAGAAAGAGAACAAGTGGGAGGGACAGAGGGAGAGGAAGAGAGAAACTCAAGCAGACTCCATGCTGAGCTCAAGCCTGATGGGGGGCTCAGTCTCATGACCCCGAGATCACGACCTGAACAAAACCAAGAGTCAGACACTTAACTGACTATGCCACCCAGGTGCCCTAGCATAATGAGATTTCTGATATATATTTGAAGTGAAAGCCTCACAGCTAAAATGTGTTTGCTTTGTATTAGAAATCTCCTACACCTTTCCAAATAGGTAGTTACTAGAGTTTTCCCATAACAAAATGATCTTTTCCTCTGTTCTTACCTAAATACTGTTACACTCTTGTTGTTAGGTCATCAGTTTGCATATGGTTTATAATTCTATTGAAATAATAAAATCCTTATTATATTTTTTTAAAGTTTATCTGAGAGAGAGAGAGTGAGTGAGAGAGTGAGCGAGTATGAGCGGGGGGTGGGGGAGAGGAAGAAGCAGACTCCCCACTGAGTGAGGAGCCCAATGCAGGGCTAAATCCCAGGATGCTGAGATCATGACCCAAGCCAAAGGTGGAGGCTTAACCAACTGAGCCACCCAGGCGCTCCCTTACCTATTATATCAAATCCGTGTTTTAAGATCTTTTCAGTATAACCCTTAGAAATATATTTTCTACTATATTCATACATGTGAAACAAAACTCACCCTTAATATATTTGATGTGTCTGATTTTTCTTTTTCTTTTGTTTCTTATTCTCCTTTTAAAGGTGATTTTAGGGGGCGCCTGGGTGGCTCAGTCGGTTAAGCATCTGCCTTCGGCTCAGGTCATGATCCCAGGGTCCTGGGATCGAGCCCCACGTCAGGCTCCCTGCTCAGCAGGAAGTCTGCTTCTCCCTGTCCCACTGTGTGCTCACTCACTTTCTTTTTCTCTCTCAAATAAATAAATCTTTTTTAAAAAATAAAGGTGATTTTAATACTTTAAATTAATTTCATGATCCACTGATGGGTTGTATCCCTTGGTTTGAAAAACATGGCTAGATGAAAACTTTGTTGTAACTCTGACCTTTGTACTTACTACCAAGCTTCATGGTTTTATTGGGAATTTTCTTCCTTTCTACCAAAGTTAATATAAGTCAGTCTCTCTAGATGTGTTCTTTAATGACTAGATTAGTAAGTACTTTACCATTTATTATGGCATGAAAAAAATTACAAGTTCAGATTAGATGGTTATACATACATAATCATAACATATACCAGTTAACCACGATTTTACTTATTTTTCCTTGATCTCTAGATCTTTTATTTCTTTTTCTTTACTTATTGCATTAGTTAGGGCCTCTAGTACAGTGTTCCATAGAAGGGGTGAGAGGAAACACCTTCTCTTGTTGCTGATCTTAGAGGAAAAGAGTTTGTTTACCATTAGATATGATGTTAACTAAATGTTTTCATAGTTTTCTATTACTCGTTTGAGGAAGTTCCCTTTTAGTCCTAGTTTGCTAAAAATTGTTAACATGTTGAGTTTTGTCAAAGACTTTTCTCCATCTCTTGAAATGTTCTTCAGATTTTCTTTTATTCTTTTAATGTGGAGTAGTGCAGAAATATTTTTTAATGGAAAACCAAACTTGTATTGCTGGATTTGCTTCACTGTGTTTT